TTGTTGGCGGCTACGTTAGCGCCTACTTTACACTTGTCGATCGGCGAGTAGATGAGAGATCACCTCAGCATTAAATGAGAAGTGATTAGAGACATAACGGTGGTGACATGGTCCGATGAGTCATAAGGACTATCTGGGCTAGAGATATGATGTGTATGCCAAGATTAAATATGACCCCGATGTGCTGTCAGCAGGAGAGGCTCGAAGTTGAAGTCCTTTAGCTTGGCCAAGAAGTAACGCATTTCGAGTCGACCTCGCGATGCGTCGAATAACTAATCGAGTGGGCTCGTAACGAGTCGTCTTCGACGAGAGAACCCACAAGTACCGCCATTCGAGTCAACCTAAGGAGATGTCGACTCGGCGAGTCGGCTAAGTCGGGATCCTTGGTGGTTTTGACCATCAATCTAACTTGAGCAGTGCATGTAGGGGGACACTTGTCCGTTGCTGACAAAGGGCCGTACTTTGGCGATTGAAAGCACCATAACAAAAAGTTTAGTTGTAGGTGTTTGTTTGATATCAAGATTTCCCCCCCTAGCTTTTGTTGAGAGTTAGCAGCAATTGGAGTCTCAATTTAACCCTTTTTTACTCCTCAAAAATTTGCAACTATTACTTACACAAAGATGAAGGTAACTTGTCAACTCACAGTCCCTGAAGCACACCAAGCATTTATAATGTAGAAAACTGAACCGGCAGTGATCCAGCAAGTTATGAAGTAGGCCCGGATGATGAAGCTTTTCCCAGAATCCAGAGTGATTACAGGAGAAGAGTGATGGAGTGATACATAACCAGTCAACAAGAGGGAGAGCATGTGGCATTGCTTGTTGAACATGGGAAAGCAATCAGCCACCAAAACTTTTTCCCACAATTGGATTAGAAACATATCTCTATCACTTTTAAGCAGATATTTAGGGGCACACACCATTAACATATCTGAAACCATCTGGAGATTTCACTAACAATTACCTTGTGGTTGTGTGGATATATATATATATGAGAAATATGAGTATGCTTGGTACCAAGCATAAAAAGTTGTGCTTGGTAGTAAGTTGTCAAATCCCCCTCCACTCGTTCAAATGTGAGAACAAATTCACATGGGTAGTGAGTGGATGAGGATGTGACACATCACTACCAAGTACAAAATTTACCATCAAACACCGATGATGGAAGTTACAATCTGACGATTTCCAGAAGGCTACAATTTGAAGACTTTCACATAGATCGCTGAATGTTACAATCTGACGACATTCACGACAACCGATGAGAGCTCACGCGAAGGTCCTCCCCGTGTATCAACACCAAAACGCGGAGGTCCTCCACGTGTATCAACACCAAAACGCGGAGGTCCTCCTCGTGTGTCAACATCAAAACGCTGGAGTCGGACCCGCGTCACAACATCAAAACGCGAGGGTCGAACCCACGTTACAACATCAAAACGCTGGAGTCGGACCCGCGTTACAACATTAAAATGCTGGGGTCGGACCCACGTTTTTCAACACCCAGCGATTACCCAACTCCGCGTCTCCATTCTAAAACACGGAGTTAGGGTCCTAAACGCCGACGTGGACGTTTGACTCGTTCAAACACGAGCTGAACGGTTGCAGAAACCGTTTTCCCTCCACGATTTGAGGGATTTCCGCCCCACTTAGGAGCGGATTAAGGGGGCGGTTACACCCCTTAATTCCCTATAAATATGGGTAAACTCGATTGAGTTCAGACTGGCTTTTTGGATCTAAGACTTGGCAGGGAGGTTGGAGTTTCTTGGCTCGGATTGATTCTCTCTTCAGCAACGAAGAAGAGATCTTTTGGCTTGGCAACAAGGGGGAGATCGACGTTCATCCTCAGCAACGATCGACCACCGGAGCTTTCTTCTAGCCTTGGCTTATTAACCGATCTTCGGTTCAAATCAACTCTTTCACAGAGTTATTCTAAACTCGTTCAGAGTTCTCAAACTTGCCACGCAAGCTCTCCACAGCGTCGAATCGTGAGGAGAAGACATCGTTCCAGTGAAGCAAAACGTTGGATCGTCAACGGAGAGCAAACTCTACGCGAGCATTCGAGGGAGGCACTCCATCGCCACCGTGAAGAACCCAGTTTTAAACAAAGGGGAGAACCAAATTCGTTCTCCTCTCTTTTGTAATCGGAATCCAAATTGTAATCGATTTTGAGAGAATACAAATCAATTTTTCTTTCATTTCTTTTACATCGAATTTTTCCACCAAACAGGCTCCAACAAGCTCCCTATAATGAAGACTAAATATAGGGCTTGTGATTTTGTATTCTAAATCAAAGACAAGAAATGACTCCATATATTTAGTCTTAACATAAAGAGCATTGTTGGAGCAATTTTTTCCCTCTCCTACTCCCTATATTTAGTCTAGGACATGAGATGAGGAGTCATTTGGGGAGCATTGTTGGAGCACTTGCTCATTATTTGGCTCCCTATTTCCTAGGATGATAGATTTGCTCCTCAAATATAGGGAAAACCTAAGATCATTGTTGGAGATGCTCTAGAAAATAGAGAGTCAAATAAGGAGCAAATGCTCCAACAATGCTCCCCAAAGTACTGTAGATATAAGAAGTGTCTCAATTTGTCTTTGATTTGGAAGATGCTCTCAATGACCCTATATTTGGAATATGGGATAGGGAGCTTGTTAGAGCCAATTATTCACATCCTACTCTCTAAATTTGAGCTAGGATATGGGATAAGGAGCCTCTTGGAGATGCTCTAAAAGGGGAAAACTTAAATTATACCTCTTGCAAATGATAGCAAACTATCATCTAGTAAGAACTTCAAGGATATCGAGTAAGGGGGAAACTTGTTGGGCCCACTACGTATCCGATCAATCTGGTGATCCATGGGGAGAGCAACCTCTATGTCAAATCACCATCTCCTTTCACATATATTGCCGTATATAAAATCACACCCTTCAACACTCACCACATTTTTCAAATTTTGATATAGCCAGCGTAACGACATATGACTTTAAAAGATTCTAATAAATGGGAGCAACATAAGACCCCAATATAACAACTTCAAGTGTGAAGGGTCTTCAAATAATATCAAACTAGTGTACACCATCTGCAAAGCATGACTCCCTATTTTTTTAAGTATTGCTGTTATGGTGTTTATAGTCGTCAAAATATGACCCTTTGTCAGCAACGGACATGTGTCCCCCTACATGCACCACTCAAATTAAATTGACAGTCAAGACCACCAAGGATCCCGACTTAGCCGACACACCGAGTCGACATCCCCTTAGGTCGGGCGGTACTTGTCGGTCCTCTTGACGAAGACGACTCGCTACGAGCCCACTCGACCAGTTATTCGAAACCTTGCGCGCTCGACTCAAAAGACGTTACTTTTCGGCTAAGCCAAAAGACGACTTCAACCACGAGTCTCCCCCGCTAACAATGCGTCGACATCACATTTAATGCTTGGTAGACGTCATCATGCCTCTAGCCCCAATAGTCTTCATGAGTCAACGAACCACATCGGCACCGCCATGCCCCAGAGCACTTCACATTAACTGCTGAGGTGACCTCTTCTCCACTCGTCGATCGACACCTATAAAGCAGGTGTTGACGTAGCCACCACCCCATACTTGTTTGTCGCCATCCTGTGCTCGGCCGAGATTACCATTCTTCCACCACTATAAATAAAGATACTATTATAAGCAACTTCTAAGCAAGCAATACCTGAGAATTCTACTGCACTACACTTCAAAACTCACACAGTTCATCATTTTTCCACTCAAGTCCATCAACTGACTTGATCATTGGAGGAGCAACGGGTGAACTAATCTCCGTCCTCTCACGAATTACTATTTGTGCAGGCTGAAGTTACTCAATTCAAAATCAGTTATTCGGAGAAGTTAGCAGCCCCCTAATCAACCTCACCCTCATTACATTATCTGTTTGATTATTAACATCAACAATTGTATTTTGAACTTAGCTCCTTCTAAGTTTTAATACATTTAATTTGATTATTACATACTTAAAATTAGAAATCATATCTACTCCTGTATACTTAAAGGAGAATCCAAGGTTTTAATACATTTGATTTAGAAAACATATCTACACCTTTATACTTAGAGGAATATCTAAGTTTTAGTACATTTAATTTAATTTACTGTTTATGATACAGTGAAAATACTATAGTACAAACATTAACTTTAAAAATATAGTGTCACTCTAGGGTCTATTTACTGTTCACGGTACAATATTTTACTACCGCAACTAGAGGGTCGATTTGCTGTTTACGTAATAGTTGTTACTGTAGTTTTTACTGTGGCATGATTAGTGACTCTTTGGATCCTAGAAGAGTAGATAACCATATCATACACGCTTTATCTCAATTAATGACACCAAAGATAACAAATTTCAAGGGTTTTCCAGAGGTAAAAGTTTTAGGTGGATAGCATCAACAATCCACTTGAAGTCCCCCACAAAATCTATGAGATCATTGTCCTAATCACGTTCCACCAAGAGTTTCCTTCCTCCTAACAAATAACCCCACCTCCTCAATTGCCAAACAAGCTGGATACTTGTTTCCTCAAGCAACGCAGATGTAGAAGCAAAAGGGGTTCCTGAGCTCCCACCATCTCGTCCACAGCGTGCTGGGTTCTACCACGACACTGCCCATGTGAAACTTACGACTACAGGCAGTTCCAAGTCGCCGACCGCATTCTTCTTTTTCACAACACCAAGCAAAAAGTGAAGATTTAAGCGGACTCCAATGGAACTCAAAACTGAGACAGCACTCCGCAAGTTCCTTCTACGGGGTAAAATAAAAAGCTGATTTCAAGTAAAAAGCAAATTGGGACCCCGTCAGAAGAAAAAAAAACCTATCCATATTTAGCAAAAGAATGATGGAGGATCTCCCTGGTTCACAAACAGACCCACAATATCTAAATACTGGGACAACATTAACAAGAGTTTGATACAGATAAAGATTACATGTTTAACATCCAAACAAATTTGGCGTTGTAAGCAGACAAGCATCTCACAAATCAGTTAAATACTGCTGTATATTTATTGCATATCCATAGACACCAATAGCACCAACATAGTAACAGTTTCTCAGCAACCAAACAAGGAACTCTCAAATACCCAATCAAAAGTTCTTCACTTATTCCTATCACAAACATTAATATAACCAACATTAACACCCAGAGATTACACAAATATACTCAACATTAACAGCAGAAAGAAAAAGGTTTCTCATCTTTATACCTGTTCTCATGATCATGATCCCCTGTTCTGCTTCACCTCTATAGTCTGCCTTCATCAACCCCTTCTCACCAATAGTGATGTGATTTGCTCTGCCAACCTTGATTAAACTTCACGCAATAGTGAGAACTTCATCTGTATTACAAAAATTAAAAAATCACATTATATAATAGAACTGTTGCTCGTTGGGAGTAGGTGCATGTTATTTCAGAATGTATGAGTTCAAATACTCATTTTCTTGTTGTTATGATAATTAATAGTAAGCAGATAAGTGTCAATGGACAGAAATGTTTAATTGTTCTCTTACCCTCTTTTTACTGGATTTGAATCTTCTGTTTCGAGTCTTTACAATCTGTGCTCAATCAAACAGGAACTAAACTTTAATGTTTCAAAATCTTCAATTAGGCATATTACCTTTCATCTTTTTTTGTACCAAACAAGGAAGGCAATTTCATGTAGAATCTCACGATCTTTGTCTCTTCCTAACCTATGGTTCCTAATTCTTAGGAATTTGGGTGATTGCACCCTGTTGCATGAGTTATTTGGTAGAGGTTGGTATTGCATTAATATTTGGCCGTTAAAACTTGACCTGTTTTTTTAATTGCTTCATGTTGGCACGCCAAATCCTTCACGTTGGCACGCCACAGGCCAAATCTGACGCAATCACCACCCTTTCCAATCTCTCCACCACTGGAAACACACTATCCACAATTCTCTCATGCTTCCCGATCCCTTCCCTAGTTGACATCCTCAACACCTTCAAAAAATCGTCCAAAACAGTTGAGAAATGTGTCGCTCTCCTCGAATCGCTTATGCCCTTCGAACACGCACGGGTATCTCTGACTTCAGAGCCCGGGGGTGTGCTATCAGTGGTGGAAGCGCTTGAGGATGGGTCAAGCCGAACCAAGGAGCACGCTGTAGGGGCGTTACTGACACTTTGCAAGAGTGATTGTTGCAGATACAGAGAAGTTATTCTCAACGAAGGAGCGATTCCAGGGTTGCTAGAGCTAACAGTGCAAGGGACGGATAAGGCTCGGCCGAAGGCGAGGGAGCTGCTGCAGATTTTGCGGGGCTCGAAAGACAGGAGGTCGGAGATGGAAGGCGAGACTTTGGAGGATATTGTGAACGATATCGTGTGTGGGATTGAAGGTGAGGATCGATCAGGGAAGGCGAAGAGGATGCTGGCGGAGATGGTGAAGGTGAGTATGGAGCAGAGTTTGAGGCATTTGGAGAGAAGGGCTTCTGTTGTTTGTACTACTCCTACAGCGGAGCTGGCTACTTTGAAGTGATGATGTTGACGCTAGCGTTTGTGGTTTGCTTGCTTTCTTGGCTGAAAGATGCCAGTCCAGGCCGCGAAGGTAACAGGTGACTGGTGAAAGTGTTCATACTTTGTAATTGTTGTATCTATATGATTTCCTCACAGTTTATGTGCATGTTTGAAGGTGGGTTTGTATGATTGTACAATATAGTTTCTTTGAGATTATAGGGGATATACCAATCCTTGCTTTTCATTATATGCTTTTGTTTTGATACGCTTTTTTTCCAGGGTCTGTTCGTCCGCAGTTCTTGCAATGTAATAAGTGGTAGTTGCATGTAATTGCGGTTGTTGCAACTAGTCGTAGCTGCACTTGCCTGATTCAGTTTTAAAATTTAGCGAATTATAATTGTTATGTGTCGACCAACACTGAATTATATGAAATGATATACGCCAATAATGCCAGCTAGTACGATCATCCAAATTCTATCACATTGGTTGATAAATATTGTTCGCTTTTATTGATGATGTTAACTAGTATACAATTACTGATATTCCGTTTTGTGCAATATTGACCATACTGTTGTCGAAAAATAAAAATTTCACAAGTCAGGATAAAAGATTAAGGAGAAACTAAAGAAACCCACATTTAGCTTTTGGGTCAAGAGGAGGTGTTGGGATAAAGAGCGGGGTGAGAATAGCAGCGCCGTTGGATTTGGAGATGGGGGAAGGAGCCAGAAACGGAGAGGGTTTGGGGTTGGACACATTTAGCTTTTGGGTCAAGAGGAGGTGTTGGGATAAAGAGCGGGGTGAGAATAGCAGCGCCGTTGGATTTGGAGATGGGGGAAGGAGCCAGAAACGGAGAGGGTTTGGGGTTTGGGGGGCTTTTTACTGACAGCTGGGTACAACTCCCCATGTGGGTCCTGCGTGGAAGTGAATAAGCTGCCTTTTCTTACTAGTAATGTACTAGGTATGTTTTGGGAAATTTTGATGTTAAATACCGTTGTAAAATAAATTAACGGAGTTTGGAAAATGGAGAAAATTGTCTCAATGCACCAATATAAATTAGGGGAAAATTTGTAAAACAGTTCGTTTTTGCTAATTATTTAGCAAAATAGACCGTTTTGCTAAATAATTAGCAAAATAGACCTCTTTTGGAAAAAAAAGAGGTCGAATTTGAAAAACAATATTCAGAAAACATACGGGACTACTAGTCTCGTATGTTTAGAGCCAACTTAATCACGGATTAGTGACTCAGAAAACATACGGTCTAGTAGTCTCGTATGTTTTCTGAGTTCATTTCAATGTTTTGTGAAATTTTCTGAGTTCACTAATCCGTGATTAAAACATATGGAACTACTAGTCCCGTATGTTTTCTGAGCTGTTTTGCAAAATAGACCTCGTTTTTGCCCGTTGGCTAAAAAGAGGTCTATTTTGCTAATTATTTAGCAAAACGGTCTATTTTGCTAAATAATTAGCAAAAACGAACTATTTTGTAAATTTTCCTTATAAATTAGCTCATGTGATCTGCCCCTCCTTATTTTGGGCTTTGGGTTTCAGTTCCAAACGCTAGTCGTGCTTGTTCCAAGACCCCAGTTAGACTGCCAATTAAGCAATGTGAGTGAAAGTCCGCCTAAAATTACTTAACTTTCAACCCATTAGAAATAACACCGTATCCATTAGACTCAACATACAACTCATTAGACTTAACATACCACAAATTATAATTAACATTCAACCTATTAGACTTAACATACAATCTCTTATACTTTAACATTCAACTCATTAGACTAAATATTCAACCTCTTATACTTAACATTAAAACAATTAGACTTAACATTACAACATTTTAGAGTTAACATCAAAACTATTGAACTTAACATCCAACCGCATAAACATAATATATGAATGCATATACTTAACATGTTACCCACTAGACTTAGCATCAAAACTATTGAACTTAACATCCAACCGCATAAACATAATATATGAATGCATATACTTAACATGTTACTAGTCACACTTAACAGATATTTGTTTAAATTTTTATTATGTTACGATGTTCAAACAGAAATCACAAGCTTCTTTTTGAAAAACACTAATAATTTGCAGGCCTTCTGGAACTTTTTTGGTGTTATGGGAAGTCGAATCCTCTGCTTTTTGAAAAGCTTCTGTATGAGCCTCTTTACACTCAATATTATGGTTATGCTCCACCATACACGACAAATCATTTTCGTTCTCAATAGGAAAATTGTAGTTGTCGTTTGTTTTATCTTTGTATGCCAATGATAAATAATCGTATGGAAGTTTTAGCCTCCCTGACATATCAAACTTCAGTTTCATAATGGTGGTTAAAGAGTTAATTATTGAGAAGGCTGCTTTCTCACTTGAGGAGACCATGCAGATGATAGCCTTCTCAGCCATTAATGAAGGGAAGACAAAAGGAGGAACAAAGAGAATTTTAGAACAAGAGGAGTATTGATAGTTGAAGAGGAAAAACCCTAAATTATTACATAAAGAGTTATTGCTAATGATAGAGAAAAATAAAGGGAAATTTCTCTCTGATTTCGCCATCAGATCACCGCGTCATTGGGAAGGAGAAAAGCATTTTAGGATTTATGAGGAAAAACTATAGCTTTCATCTATATGGTTGATCTGAAGGGGCCCAAATACATTGACTGAATTTTTTTAGGTCTGATCCACAATAGGGAAAGTTTGAAGGGGCTACTTGCATGGCGTTCTTTATATTGGGGCTTTGACACAATTTTCTCATTTTACAATCTTTGAATTTTTAAGGAATATATCAAATGTTTATAAACAATGGAATTACCAGGTTAGTATATTTTATTGACACTAAGTGTCAACTTGATTTATAAAAATAGAGTTAATTACGAATTAACCCTAGTATCACATAGCCAGTAGAACCCCTGTAGTCTTTTGGTGCAAATAGATCTCTCATACTAATTATCCAAGTGCGGGTAAGCTATATTGGTGAACTTGGATCAAAATGATTAAGACCATCTTCAATGGCAAGGCAAAAATTGCCTTTCTCTCTCCTTCCACCTCACTTTATTCTCCCTCCACATCACTTGCCTTTTTCAATTGCCTTTCAATTCCACAACAACTAATTTTTTAAAAAGTTTTTCACTTTATCTTTCCTCCACATCACTCAATCATGATAATTAAGTAAAAAATTAAGTTTTATTTGCTTTGTCCAAATAACACAAACTCAAGCTCTATTAATAGATCTTGAAAAATAATAAATAGTGGTGAAAAAATAAAAAATTAATTTCGAGTAATTATTGATCAAAACAGTCATTTAAAAACAAGGTGAGAATAATTGTAAAAACTTTATGACACGCGGGGCCCAACAAGAAATTTAACACAAAGGCAAAATTTGCCTTCCATTATCTTTCTCTCTCCAACTTTTTCATTTGCCTTTCAATTTGCCTTGCTATTGGATGTAATAATTTTTGAGTTGCCTTGCCATTGCACTTGGTCTAATAATTGCCGGTCTATCCGGAACTACAGGATGTCTGCCTGTGATTGATTTTATAGACAATGTGCGACATGCACACTAAAGCTTTACAAACTACCCAAAACGGAAAAATAACAAACTGCAGGAGGTCTATTCACATCTTAAAAAATGATTCTTTTAAAAGTAATAAAATTCACTTAGGGGTCTATCTATACACTTGAACTATAAAGAGTCTATTTGCAATAAGGCAATACCATGAGGAGTCTATTAACAGTTAACTATTTTTTAATAATCTAGCACAAAATCAAATCTATAACCGTAGGAACAATAATGGAACCTCCCCGCAATAATAACAATTTGACGCAGCGCGTAATTGATAAACCTCGGAATCTACTAAGAGTTGTTTTATTAATCCACAAAGAACAATCTCCGAATCCATGAAGAACTTCGAATACATGAAGAAAATATTAAAGATGAATTTTATTGATAAAAGATTATGCCTCTAGCACTTACAAATACTCTTCTTAAATAGAAAATAAATAAGACTCCTACTATGACTCAAACTTTGCCAAAAAATAAAAATAACAAAACTCTCCTTAAAATACTCCCTAGGATTAGGGAAGTAAATCGGTCAAATTTGAAATCAAACCGGATTTGTTTCCTAATCAAAACAGACTCCTAAAACATTACCTAAAATAGTAAAAAACTGATAAAAACTCTGATATCTCTCAATCCGGAGGGAATTTTACCAAACAGACGGTGGCAAACTTAACAATTGTCGGTTTGGTTGACTCCATCTCGAAAAAATACGCGATTTACATATATAATTCGTCCAATACCGACGTACGGTTTGAGAGATACGACCCGTTCTTTGTTGCAAATTATTTTCTTCGGTTGGGGCCCGCGTTTGGGCTTTTGACGGTCCCGTTTCTCTATGAATATACCCGCAGCATGTTCTGCATCACAATTGATCCTTTTTAAACATCTAAAATATAATAAAACTTGACTAGGCTGATTCATATTTTAAGAAGTTCCAAACAATGGAAACTTATCAATACCAGTTTCTGCGTTTCATGTGGACCAAACGCCATGCTGTACATTAATCTATTAGGGTGGCCACCGCTAACAACTCGGCTCACTAGCTCATATCGCGAAGACATCCCTATTACCGGGTCGAACCCTCTCACAACCTGAATCTGTACTCATTTGGCCCAAATTCATGCATCCCATTACCTATCCAGCTCTTCAGCGCGACTCCCCCCGGCTGCCTCCTTCATGGCCCCGATGCATGAAGAAGGCTATGTGCCGCGCGTGCATATTACTATATATCGAGGGGCGCCATCGATTTGCTTAGGCCATCAGAGAAAGGAGATGACTTGAAAAGATCAGCAGCCAAGAGGCCCGCCGCTAGCCTCGCCGCTAGAAATTAAGGTACGCTAAGGGAGATGTAGTTTGCTTTACGACAGAGGACCCTGTGCCTGGAGAGAATCGAGAAGGGGAAGTCCTTGAGCACCCTTTAACTACTTTTTGAACCCCCTTTAACTACTTTTTGCTATAAGTAACAAAGCTTCTGCTTCGAAAACCTGTCGTCTCTGCGGGAACGGGAAGCAAACACATACAGAATCACGACAGGAGCCGGTACTGACGGTACTCAATTAAACATCCTTCAACTAGGAGCTCCTCCAGCTGCAGGGCCAGCTAGCTAGAAGAAGATTAATCTAAATTTAATATTCTTTATTATTAATCCTCCAGCTAAGTTTGTGTTAATCTGAAATTCCTCATACAAACCTTCAAACTTCTCCGATATTATAAGTATTGGGTAAATTACACTAAACCCCTATGAATTTGGGGTTAAAGGAAGTTA